CTTTTATAATGATGGGTGTTGCTTTCTTCTACCATTTTCTTGCTCTCATGATATTGGGTGTTACCCAGGGCAAAAGAAAAGGAGCCAGAAGCCATAGGCTGAACTCTCTGAAGCTGGGAAGCTAAAACAAATGCTCTCACCCTAAGTTACTTATGTCAGGTATCTTGTTACAGGGATGGAAAGTCTGGCTACCATAGACCCTATAGGTCTTAATCAACTCTCCATCCTGTCACTCTGGAGACACGGACTCTTGGGCACAAACCAAACCACAACAGCGTCTTCAACATTTATCTCTCAGCTCTGGGAAGGCTAAGGGCAAGATGCTGGCCAATACAGTGTCCTGTGAGGCTCTGCTTCCTGGCTCATGAGTGATAGTTTTCTATACGTGTCCAGGCTTTCTAGAAATTGTTAACTCCATTCGTGAAGGCTTGACCCTCATGTCTATTTAATCCCAGTTTCCTCCCAAAGATGGTTCCATTAGGAGAAAGGGTTCTGGTATAAGAGTTTTGAATTACACAGTTATTCAATCCAAATCAAAGACCAAATTGAACCCTCACCACCTCCATTCAACCACTCCTGGCAAAATGGTTGTTCTTCTCTTGGGCTCCCTTATGCTTCTCATGGCACACTTTCCTTAACTGTAGCGGATGTCATACCTGCCTTGTTACATTCTGTCCTCGTCTCATGGGTCAGGATTATGTTTTCCTTGTTGTTGAACCCCCCTTCTGATACTTCCAAATCTCCTGGTTCACAACAGAGAAGGCAACGTTGTGGTGATCAGGTCCAGCAGTTTGTGGTTTAACTAATCCTGGCTTCCAGTCTTGGCTCTGCCACTACTAGCTATGGAAGCTAATCACTTTATTCTTCAGAATCCCAGTTTTATAGAGAATGGGAATACCACTCAAGGAGAAAATATATAAAGTGCTTGTTTCAGTATCTGACACATGATTGAACATCAATAGGTGGTGTTTCTGTCATTGTTATTAATATGAATATAATGCTCAGAATTATGACAGATGTGTACTAGTCATCAGTGAATGATAGCTATGGTGCTGTTGTCTCCCTTGGTTATTAAAAAATGCTTTTAAACAGAGCAGTTGGAACTTAACCAGCAAAGGCTATCATCAAAGAAAGGATAGTGTAACCATGATAGTAGTGATTGAGCATACCATTGGACACACGCAGGCAAGACACATAGCTGGTATTTGTCTATAGTAAATACTGGCGATGACTACTAGATGAGTAAGTGGCTCTGCTGGTCAAGGACCCGACCCCTCCATCCAAGCCCTCTCCTTGGCAGGGTGCCGAGAGGGCCACGTGGATCTTGTTCTTCTGGTGGATGGCTCCAAGAGTGTGCGTCCACAGAACTTCGAGCTGGTGAAACGCTTCGTGAACCAGATCGTGGACTTCCTGGACGTGTCCCCTGAGGGCACACGCATCGGGCTGGTGCAGTTCTCCAGCCGGGTGCGCACCGAGTTCCCACTGGGCCGCTATGGCACTGCAGCTGAGGTGAAGCAGGCAGTCCTGGCTGTGGAGTACATGGAGCGCGGCACCATGACGGGACTGGCGCTGCGCCACATGGTGGAGCACAGCTTCTCAGAGGCGCAGGGTGCGCGGCCTCGTGACCTCAACGTGCCTCGTGTGGGCTTGGTGTTCACTGATGGCCGCTCTCAGGATGACATTTCAGTGTGGGCAGCTCGTGCCAAAGAGGAAGGTAGGTTTGGCCAGAGATGGACGTGGGCGGGGGTGGGTGGGATTGGTGTGGAGGCCGGGAAGCAGTTTTCTCGAGGCTTGGAGCTCTCTCTTGAGTGCCTGGGCCCTATAGGCATCGTCATGTATGCTGTGGGCGTGGGCAAGGCCGTGGAGGAAGAGCTGCGTGAGATCGCATCCGAACCTTCGGAGCTGCATGTGTCCTACGCTCCGGACTTCAGCACCATGACTCATCTGCTGGAGAACCTCAAAGGCAGCATTTGCCCAGGTGAGCGCGTCTCTCCCTTGGCTTCTGTTCTTTCGTTGCCTTGCCGCCATAGATGCCCTGTCCTCAGGTCTTCACACACACCCTTCAGCAGTTACAGCTGTCTACACAGAGCTTGTGACTCCTGGACCGGCGCAGGCCTGTCTCCTTACTGTAGCTTGTCAGAAATGCAGCCCCTAGACAGTGAGTCAGACCCAGTACTTTGGGTGCACATCGGAGTCAAGGAAGCACTGAATTTGTCGCTCAAATGAGTAGTGTTTGGAATAGTTTGAGAAAATGTCATTTAATTATTTACTTTATTGTATTTTATGTGCATCTTTTGCCTGCATGTATGTCTGTGCACCACATATGTGCCTGGTGCGTGTGGAGGCCCAGATCCCCTGGGACTGGAGTTACACATGGTTGTGAACCACCATGTGGGTGTTGGGCATTGAACCCAGGTCCTCTGGAAGAGCAGCCAGTGCTCTTGACCACTGAGCCATCTCTCCAGCCCCAGAGAAAAAAAATCAAAAGCAAGCCAAATTTCGCATATGTAAGTTATATGTAACTATAACCCTCCAACTTGTTGGAATTCAACTTTATGGACTTGGCAAAGTGACGGGACTGGGCTTTGACACAGTGGCTTGTGCCTTCTGGGGGAATATTGACCATAAATGCAGTCATTCCAATGCATTTGGTCTTCAGCTGGGGGAAACAGACCCAGATGTCCCTGGGGGGGGCAGTTGGACCTTATAGGGAACAGAGTTTCTTGGGGGCCTTGATTTTGACTATAGGGTCTTTAGATTCTCACACAGGCCTAAGATGGGATTCTTCTTCCATTGTGTGAGGCACTGCCGTGGAGCTAGGTCAGCAGGGCTGTGCCCAGTGCAGATTCTGTAGTTGAGTGTGCTCAAATCCCGACTCTAATGATGAACTAAGGTATTTTGGAAGCCCTGGGCTTTAGGGCCCTTCCTGTCCTGACTCTGTCATCTACAGTGACTCTGGCTAAGTTCCTCCTCCCTACCTTCCCCTCTTCTATAGGAGGGAGGATGCTTAAGTTACCACCAGCTTTAGGTTTCTGAGGCAGATTGGGGCTCCCTGGCTAGGGCTCTTCATAGGTTGGCTGTACCACAACCTAGGCCGGTCCTCTTCCTTCTGTGACCCTCTGTTTCCACAATCCTGAAGTCAGAGGTGATGCTTTTGGGAGTGTTATTGAGACCATCAAGTAATTTTAGACAAGTAGTTTGCCAAGTGTGGGAGTTTGCTTGACTCATATGGTATCTTTGTATGGAGGTAGAGTGCCAAGAACTGTGCCAACGATGTTATTACCTGTAATATTAAAAACGGGGGCTGGCGAGATGGCACAGCAGGTAAAAGCAGTTGCCATGTAAGCCTGATGACCTGAGTTCAGTCCTGGAACACATTCACAAAAAGCCAGATATGATGGCTCACGTCTGTACCCAGCACCCCTACAGCAAGATAGGTGGGGGGATCTCTGGTAAGGTTCACCATTATTTTATGTTAAGAAAACACAGGCAACCACATTTAACTGAGTCCACTCACAGATGAAGAAATGCATATGGAGATAAACTTGGATCCATAGCTTAAACATAATTTAAATAATAAAAAGCTATTTTCTTTAGAATCAATAAAATCATATATTCTTGGGCTTCACCCCGACTCAGTAGATCTGGGATAGGGTTGGATAATTTGTCCTTATGACATATTTGTAGGCTATGCTTATCCACAGACCACAGTTTGAGGAATGCTGATTTACTTAAAATATACAACACATGGTTGACTTGTGCCTGGCATTGTTCTTAGATATTGTGTCAATATGGTATTCAGTTGCTACATGTGTATAATGAATTGCAACTGACTGCAATAAAACGAAATGAAAACTGAGTTCTTCAGTTGCACCAGCCACATTTCAAGCGCTAAATAGCTCCAGGTGGCTTGTGGCTAACTGAATCGGATGGGACAGATATATAACACTTCCGTTGTTTGATACGTCTCATTTGGAGGGTGTTTGTCACTCTGGATTCTTTTTAACCAAAGTGAAATCCATGGACTTCACTATCAACATGTTTTAGGAGCTTATTGGAAATACAGATCCTCGTTCTGAATCAGAATCTTGATTCTAGCAAGCCAGTCTGTAGTTATCCCAGCAAGCATCGGGGTTTCAGAATTTCTCCTGCAAGTGTGCACACAGACACAAATCGTCTAATTCTCACAACCCCAGTGGATAGCTTCTTTCACTATATCTATTCTACAGATGCAGGAATTGAAGCTTAGAGGGGCTGAGTTTTTCCCGGGACTTCTGGGCTCCTTGGCTGGGACTCAAGCCAGGTCTAAATCCAAAGCCTGTACATACTCAACCATCAACTGGGTAGAGGTGTATAAGAAGGTCCAGGCCACAGTCCAATGGGCTTCCTTTGGCTCCTCATTCCCTTTACTCTTGGAGTTCTGCTTGCAGAGGAGGGCATCAGCGCTGGGACAGAGCTTCGGAGTCCCTGCGAATGCGAAAGCCTCGTGGAATTCCAGGGCCGCACGCTGGGGGCGCTCGAGAGCCTGACACGGAACCATATCCTTTGGGGCTGGAGGCGCGGGCTGCGGGGCAGGTGAAAGAATCTTTGAGGCCACCCAAATCTTCTTTAACTGCTCACTGGCCCAGCTGACCGAGCGCCTGGAGGAACTGGAGAACCAGCTGACTAGCCGGAAGTGAAGGTCGCATGCGGTCTGAGCACCTGTGCCCCTTGGCATGGACCGTCCAGGAGGGGGCGCTGGCGGGCCCCCAGCGCTGCCTTCGAGCTGGCCTCGCTTGGACCAGAAGCCAGATTTGGGGGGCGAAGGGATTGGGAGGTGCTGGTGGGGAAGACACGCTACACTCGCACGCCCTAGCTGCGTGCTGCGCCCAGTTCTTTGTTGTATTGTTGGATTTTTTTGTTTTCTTAAAAAAAAAAAAAAAAAAAAAAAAGCCTACACCGGTTTCCACTGGGTTGGTTTGTGGCTATTGCTGTGCCGCCAGGGGGAGGGGAGTTCAGACGGTGCGCGCTCGCAGGCGCCCGGGCGGCGTCCTCTCGGAGAAAGGCGCATTGTGCAGCACGGGGGCTGGGGGCAGGGGGCCGGCCGCTGCTTCCCGTTCCTTGTTTATTCAGCCCAGAACAGATGGCCCGTTATGCAGGACGCGGGGAAGGTGGGGGTGTCCCGAGAGCCCTTGGGTCTGAACAAGTCCGAGTCCCCCATCCTCCAGCACTTAGTTCTCTTTCTGTTCCTGTTTCCTGGTGCCAAAAATGTGACGCAAAGGCCGCTTGGGACCTGGCTGGGGAGATGGTGAGGAGGTGGGAGCCTCGGTTTAGCCCCTGGACAGTCAGAGTTGGGGACTCCAGATGTGCTTTACCTGGATTGTAGCTGCCTCTGGCACTCAGTGGCACGCCTGAGCTCGTGGCTTTCCCTCTGCCACTCCCCCAAGAAACAAAGCAAAGCAACACAAAACCCTCTGCCGCCAAGGAACACAAACTTCCCAGGTACACGCGGGGAAACTAAAGCTTAAAATGCTTTTGATTTCAGAGTGAGGTTCAGGGTAAATCCTCTGGGTTTGTTTTTGCCACCGTTAAAGTTGGGATAGAAATTGTTATCCCCAAAGGGGTTGCTGTAGTTAGAAGAATTTAAGCTAAGGCACCTGCCATTGTGCCCAACACCTATTTCAGGCCCTTAGTTAACGGTAGTTGCAACTATTCTTATTTTAACAGGTAACATGTTCAGTCTAGGACGTGGTTTTAAGTGATTTCCACAGCATTGCTGTTGTTTCCTCTTCTATGCAGACAACCTCGTGAGATAATTAGTGTCTTAGAGGGCAAGATGGCTCAGCTGGCACCAAGCCTTTCAACCTGAGTTCAATTCTCAGAACCCACGTGGTGAAGGGAGCTAACTAACTCTCGCAGGCTGTTCTCTGATCTCCGCATCTCCGATAAATAAACACATAAATAAGTGTAAAAATAAACCTTAAAAATAATTATTACAGCCAGGCGTTGGTGGCACACACCTTTAATCCCAGCACTCAGGAGGCAGAGGCAGGCGGATCTCTGTGAGTTCGAGGCCAGCCTGGTCTCCAGAGCGAGTGCCAGGATAGGCTCCAAAGCTACACAGAGAAACTCTGTCTCGAAAAACACCAAAAAAAAGAAAAAAAGAAAGAAATTATTGCCTTCACCATTCCCATTTTACACACCAGAAATGGAGGCATGCGGTTTCCTAAACTCACGTATGTAGTGAGCGGCTGATCAGGCATGTTATGGGTTTCCTACAGCTGCTATAACAAACCGAGGTCTTGAAAGCAAGGTTTCCCGAGATTGGAAATTCAAGACGGCTGGGCAGGTGTGCGTTCCTTCTGGAGAACTCTTGCTTTCTGGGGTAGCTTCTAGAGAGAGGCCTTCCACATTCCTTGGCTCACGGCCTCAAAGCCCTCTGATCTTGACACTCCTCTCTTTGTGTGTGACTATATCGCTGCGACTTTGACAATTGCAGACACTACTTCTACTTTCCAAATATCTGTAGCAGTCTCCTTTGTCGTGTAGTGTCATAGATTTATTCCCAGGCCCCCAGGATTCATGCGTGGAAGCTGTTGAGGGCAACACGATTCGGCTACCAGACAGGGCTGAAGCCAGGCTGGCGGATTTCAGTGCGGGTGCTCTTTGTACTTGGCGGTGCTAGGCTGGGCGGAGAGGGAGATGTGTTACTGAGGAAAGCCCTGAGCTGGAGGAGCGATGCCCACCTGTGTATAGTTACAGGATGAAAGGATGCTGCCTGCGGAGGGCAGGAAGGAAGGATGGAGGGGAGTGCTTTGAGTCAAACCTTAAAGCACACGGCTGTATTTTCTGTGATTGGCCATGTGGGGCAGGAGCGGCTGGACCTGGGGTGATCTGGGCCTTGCCTAGAGCATGATCAGATAAACTAAGCATGCTGTGGATAGCAGCTGGCATGAGATCTCACCTTGCTCAATCCCTCAAGCTCAAAGTTAAACAAAGTGAGTCCTAGGGGACACAGGTTCTTGTCTAGGAGCACTCAGGAAGAAAACAGCAGGGTCGGGCAGAAGACTTGCAGGGGTGTGAGACTGGAATAGGGCACTTCCTGATGGGGGTATGTGAGGAAAGGCGGAAGATAGATCTTCCCTCTTTTCCGGATGCAGACGACACAATCTTTCCTCTTCCTTTTCTCACCCGTTCTTTACTTCTGCAATCTCCTTCGTGGCCACAGGATGGCGCCTGAAGATCTACTTTAGCATTTAACTCAGAACCCCATTAGGAAGCCCAGGCGTTTGGAGCCCAGGCTGATAATGTCCCTTCCCTTTAATAGCAAAGGGTTTTAGAATGGCAGTGAGGTCCGTGGGCCAGGGAGGAAGCCGCAGGTGACTCTAAGATGGAAACAGCCTTCATGCCTGGTCCGTTTTTCTCTAACCTTTCTCAGTGTGGGTCTTTACCATTTCAGTTTGGAATGGGAGGCACCATCCATCCAGCATCTGTTACCTTGTGGGACTGACAGCGTGTGTTCCACTATCCTAGGAGCATTTAAAGTTTAAGAGGAGTCAGCCGGGTGGTGGTAGCACACGCCTTTAATCCCACACTTGGGAGGCAGAGACAGGAGGATCTCAGTGAGTTCAAGGCTAGCCTGGTCTACAGAGCAAGTTCCAGGACAGTAAGGGCTACACAAGAAAACCTGTCTGAAACAAAACAAAACAAGACAAAACAGAACTAAAGTTTAAGAGGATCCAAGGGGAAAGAGAGCAATGGTTGATCCAAAGAGAATAAATGGAAGGGTTTCAGACAGCCAAGGCCACATGAGTGCCATAGGCTTGTCTTGTCTTCAGGGACTGGATCCCTACAGGATCTCATACGATTCTCAAGGCGATACTTAGGAGGTTAGCATCTTCACTTTCGTTGTCAGAGGAAGCAGCTGAGGTGACACAGGTGTCCCAAATCATTCACTCTTGATGTCCAGGGCTCTCCCTGCTTCATCAGAGCGGTTGGAAATGGGGAGCAGTCAGAATTGGGCTCAAAGTGGGGGGGTCTTGACTCAATACCAGGTGCCAACAGGCTGGAAATCTTAGAGGGGAGAAAGGAGTTGGGAAGGGGAGGGGAGGGAAGGGCATGAGTGCTGCAACCTTTGCTCTTTGAAGTCACATTCCAGAAGGGCAGGAGGAGGGGGGTGGAGGACAGTTGGCGTGTGAGTCAAGCTACAGCCACGATGATGACAATGGTAGTAATAGTCACAGTGACTGGCGTTTATGGTGATTCACAAGGAAGTTTCCCATCAATGACAACTCAGCGGAGCCACTGCCACCCCAGGGAAGGACAGGGCAGTGTGCTCCCTGCTGTTTCACCGAAGGGGAAGCGAATGAGAGCTGTAGAGTGCAGTGAGCCTTGCTGAAGTTTATGTCAAATTACTGCCAGTGCTGGGCTAGACTGAGGCCTCCTGGCTCCCAGCCACACAAGGGCTGCCACACATGGGCTCCAGCTGTGGCCAGCCAGAGAGAATGGGGCCTTTGTCAGAGCCAATGCTTAGGCACATGCCTTCTGCGGCCTTGGGTGGAGGCCTAAGGAGATGGTTTGGACAGGCTGCTTGGGATCTGAAGGGGCAGAAGGATCTAGTTAGAGCGAGGGACTGATCCTCAAATGACCTCCGTATCCTCTAGGCTTCCCTCAGACCTTGTGCTAGCTGACCCTGCCGCAGTGTACGAGTCCATGGCTTTGGCCTGGACTGTGTCTCTTCCCTTTGTAGTCCTTTCTTCCTCCCTCCTCTCTCAACAAAGACCCCCGCTCATGCCTCCCTTCTAACTCGACTCCAACCTTGCAGTCACTCTGCTAAAAGAAAATGAGGCTTCCTTGTGAGTAACGCCCACTGAATCCCTACTGTGTGCGCTCAAGGTTCTGTGTGGGCATTTTTGCCTCAGTTGTCTCCATGTGTACCGCACGTCACCCTTTGTGACGGATTTTAGTTTCTCGGTTACCCTTCTATTCCATGTTCAAAATGAATTTGTGATTCAGGGTTGAAATTTCTACCTAAATTTCATTAGTGTGCTGTGGCTTTCGGGGAAAGACATGGGTGGGGGGTGTCTATCAATGTAATTTTGCCATCTTTAACCAGTAATTCTCATATTTTAAAAATTAACAATAAAAAACATACTATCTAGAATCTACTTGTGTTAAGCTTGAAGAGCCTGCATCTGGGCTCTGGATGTCAGTGCCAAGCAAAACAGAACCCCTACTGTATACCATCCTTCATCATGGTTATGTATGATCTCAAATGTGGGAAATACATGGTGAGTGAAAACGTAGAGAGGAAATGACAGATAGTAAACAAATGCCACCCTTTAAATACATGAAGCGAATTGGATGCCAACACTGATCAATAAAAACTAGATCAAGACCCCAATTACATCCTTCAACAGCAGGAATTCCCATCCCTTCTCCTCCAGAAAATGCCACGTTTATCCTAAAGGATCCCGATGTCTCCTGGAGGAGAACAGAGGAATCATGGGGCCATTGATCTCTCTGACTTCTGATGTTTTATATACCCATTGCACTCTCTTACACTCTGCAATCTAGAAAGGGGGAGGCCTCCAGACCACAGAAATAAAACTCATAAAGTTAACAAGAAACACTATCTACATTTCTACAGTCCAAAGATATATAATACTATTTGACTTCATAATTCCAATCGTTTTATGAAGACATTTTATAAGACTGATACATATTACTCTCTAGAAGAACTGTGTCTGCTGTATGTTTTCCCAACTTGTGTTTTAAGTAATTTCAGAGAGGATGTGCATTTCGCAGCATGAATAAAGTTTTAAGGCCAGACCTACTGGAGTTTGGGTAATTTCTCTGCCACTTTTTAAGCTGTATGATGCTAGGGAAAACCAAAACCAAAACCAAACCAAACCAAAACAAAACAAAACAACCAAATATTCAAAATTCCTTTGAACTTTGACTTCTGTGTAAGATAATGACAGCACCTCCCATTTGCACATCTCAAGCCTGAATGCAGGAATTTATTAGAGCATGCATGCAGAGAACTGTCCACAGGATGGTGATAATAACAGGGATAACAGCAACAATTATTTGCGTGCTTGCTGTGTGCCAGGTCCTTGACATCCATCATCTTCGATAATCTCAAAATTGGCTCCCAGAGCAGATGTTGTAATTCCCTTCATTGCATATCCAAGAAGGGATAAAGTAGCTGTGAACTCATCACACTATCCACTGTGTCAGTGGATAGCAGCAGCATAGAAAAGAGGCCAGGAATTTGAGGGGCCTCTATCTGAAAGGAAAAGGAAGGAAGGAAGGAAGGAATTGTGTGTGTCTCCGGGAGCATCTATATGCCAGGGTGTCCAGTAGAGGGATAATTTGTGGGAATGCATTCTCTCCTTCAACCCTGAGAGTCCCAGCGATTAAGCTGTCTTTCTTCCTGACAAGGTTTTGCTCTGGTTCAGTGGGAGCTCGTCCTCTTTCTGTCTCTGTGTCCTGAGTGC